CTAATCGAAAGGTCAGTGCTAGCCCTCTCTAAATAAAAGCAGGTGAAGTGAAGATAACTTGTAATTGGGGGCTAATTGGTGTTTCTCCCTAGTCCTGCATAGCTGCAAAGTTTGGAAGAATAACTGCACTTCGCTTCTCCTCTGTGGGAATATTAACGAGGATGAGTCGGCAAAAGGAAATCTTAAATAGTTAATAGCCCCAAATCACTTTATTTATGCCTTTCGCCTTACTTATTGTTTAATCTAAAAAAAACAGGAATGTCAGGCTCAGTTTTTACTTCTTTGATGGTGAGATTAAAATATTTGTTTAAGGTTCTGTAAACTCCTGACAGGCAAATAATCCACCAGAATGTGATATACTGTGATACTCTTGCGTTGGTTATACAGTATGTTTAATGTGATGGTGTACAAAGGCTTTCAGACACAACCTGAGCATTTGAGCCTAAACTGCAGTTTCAGCGACTGAATGCAGTGAAATGAATGAATTATCTGCACCTCCTCTGTAGTGATGACGTACAGCCCTTCAATATTACGTCTCCAGGTCCAAGCCTCTGCTGCGTTGGCTGAACCTCTCATCCTTTCAATGTGCTGCAGTGCTGTGTGCCTTGTTTCTTGAAAAGAGATGAATCCTAGAAAGCTATTCGGTTGTCATTCTGCCTGTTTTTTTTATATACAGAACAATTCAAGCATAGTGCACCTTTAGGCGAGTTTTTAACCCCTTATTTGATATGTACAGCTTTTCATCAACAGAAAAAACAAAATAAGTTGCACAACACATCTTAAAACATTTGTTTAAATGCCCGATTTAGCAAATGCGATACAAATTAAAAACCATTTATGGAATTAACATGTGCTTAATTTTTTAAACACATTTGTCAGTTTGTTCAGTAAACGTATGTTTCAGACTCTAAAAGGTTTTAAAAGCACGTGTGGCCCTCAGGCTCACCGATAGTTTAACGCCTTTCAGAGTAACTAAAGTTTTAATATGAACATCAAATTCACATTATTATAGCAAATACTTCAGAGAAAGCAGCAACACGTGAATTACTAATACTCATGTCTGGATGGTGTCAGCTCAGAGGCTCTCTGGGTTGAAATTTTGTTGCTTTTGGTGCTTTTTTTTATGGCATCTGACAGCACATCGGGCACTTCTTAGGTCTTTTCCTCACCGATTCATGTTTGATTGACGCAGTTCCTCTAATGTCCACGTTAGGCTCCTTAATCTCTGTCTAACTTCTTTGTCCTTTTTCTCTGACCACCAGCCGATTACACCAGAACTGAAGTGATTTAAACATCCATGGCTAATGTCATGGTGGTCCATCTTTTACAGTTTATGCTCTCAATGTACTTTTCTTTTCTTGTCTGAGCCATGACCTTTTAAATGAGCAGCCATGTAGTAACCATGCTCAGGGGGGCAAAAACATCAATAAATTAAGTTAACAATCTTAACTTCACTAACCATCCAAAACATCGCTGCTTAGTCTAGTTTTTCATCTTTGCTATTATTATGGGCTTTTTACTGTTTATTATATGCGATCAAACAAGTCACAGCATCATCGGGACATGCAGTGATAAGTTTGTAGAATCTCAGCATTTCACTCCCACAGTATCTGTTCTCATATTATCCCCAATAAAGAGCAGCCTTTGTAAGGCTGGAAATGGAGAGCTGAGAGAGAAACTCAAAGCCAGGTTTCAACACTAAGGTTGTCGAAACGCCTAAGAGCAGCTGTGAAGCATTTGGAAGTCCCAGTATTTTCAATCTTGTTCCCAGTGAAGAGAAATTGGTTTCTGTTGGGCTTTACAACAAGTTTGACTATGTTACACGTAAGGAGACACAGCAGGTTGGCTTCATGCTTTTGCCCTGAGGCAAAAAAAGAAAAGCAGCTACGCGAGGTTTCATCAGACTACAGTGCAGCAGTCCTATTTATTTATTTATTTTTTTTGCTTTGTGTAAAATGTATTTATACTCCTCTGTGAGTCACTCTCATTCAGGCTGTGGACTTTACCTCTGACAACATGACTGTTCATGTTGTACAAGCTGTCCAGAGAGAATATTCCAGTTCTCTGGATGCAGATGAAGCTGTAGAGAAAAATATCTGGTTTGTTTCAACTCAGCTGTTTGACTGCATGTGGGAGTCATCTTCAAGACTTTGAGGAGTTTCAACATTAAAGCAAAGGTTTGGGAGCAAAAGAAGACAACTTTGGAGGACTGAAACAAAAATGTTCTTCATTACATCCAACAAAACATAAAATGATATCTGTATGGATTTATGTGTTTATCAATATTTAGAATTTAAATGATGTAGTCTTCCAATTGATTTCTTCAAATCGAAATTTCATTTAGCCATTGATACATTTTTTTTTGGTCCTGTTTTTAATTTTTCTTAGCAATTTGTGACACTGTGCAATTTTCATTAACTGATGCCTAAACCTATAAGAATCAAAACAAAAAAAACCCAATAATAATAATAATAATAATAATAATAATAATAATAATAATTATTATTATTATTATTATTATTGTTAATAATATTAATAATAATTAATTTGCCTTTTTTGATATAATTTATTTCATTTTTTTTAAATTACTGGCAGTTTTGAACCAACAGTTGTTCACAATGCACATGAAAATAAAGTTGAGTTTTTTGTGTAATTTGTTATGAAAACTGAGCCTTTGGTTTGAAACAATGCACCAAAATTACAGGGAAAAACTGTCATAAACTGGAGCGATCTGAACACTGGCTGAACAGCTAGCTTTGGTCTGAAATGGATCCAATTAGAGGCAATGCAAATGATAGTCGACCTGAACACAGAGAGAAGTCGAACCCTGGCAGTGTTCAACCAAATTAGGAGCAGCTGTAGTGGAACAACAAGCAGCCATTTTTCCTCACCAGCTGCTTTAAAAAGCACATTTTCTCCTGCGTTGATGATGATGACAGCAGCCTGCTGTGATTCACTCAGGTATCACATATATGGATTCACACGCCCCAGCATGGATGGAGAAAGAGTTAAACAGTTAGACTGAATGAAAGAGGAAAGGAGGGAGAAAAATAGGATCAAGAGGAGGACGAGAGGACTTTGAGAAAAAGAGAAGAATGGAATAAAAGTAAAAAAGACTCGTGGCAACATAAAGGGACTGTGCTTCAACCTAATTAGACTGCAAATTTGTTTTAACGTATGTTTTAACTGGAAACCCCTCTTAACCCAATGTTGTAACCTTCCATTTAATGTGAACTTCCCCCTCCTAGGAAATGTATCTGCAGGTCGGGTTGAAGCCGCCAGCAATGATTAATCAGCGTGGAAGGTGATGGCATGGTTATGTCAACGTAGATTTTCCGCTGAAGCATAAATTGGACATTAATGGCATCTTCTCATTTCTTTTTACTTTGTTAGTTTCCTTGTGTTTTTTTCTCCTGTTTTTGTCAAATTCAGTCACTTTAATTTTAAACTGTGTAATTTTAAAACTGTATGTACTGTATATTCTGTGTATTTATTATCTCACTCTTATTGCCTGTTTATGCCCTGTCCTTATCTTCAACGTCATGCAGCTCTGTTGTATCTTAATTGCCCCTTGGGGATAAATAAAATCTTCTGATTCTGAAATAATCTGTTGTGCATCTCCCATGTTATATTCATGTTATTTGTCTTTTATTTAAAATTTTTGTGGTCTTATGTGGTCCTCCGTACACCATTCCTATGACTGGGCTCATAAAATAATGTGTAAAGCCTACATTGTTCCACAATTTAGAGAATACTAGTCTCACAATAAGATGTACAATTATTATGCCTACTTTTGGCTTGTGGCCTTTATCGGGATCATCATAACACATGTATATGATGGGCTTTGAACCACATGACCACATGCCAAAAGGCGTGTACTCCGTTCACTGATATGTGGCTGTACACGATTTGCATGTGCTTTAGAACTGTGGTCATGCCCATCATTCCTATTTTATGATACACTTCTTAATAAAGACTGCAACTTGAATGCATTGGTCTAGCAATTAATTTTCCCTTCAGATCTTTTTTCTCTTAACTTTGAAAGCAGGTGAAGTCAAAGCAACAACAACCTACTCTGCTTCTTAAGATTACTGGACTTGGAGGACTGCACTCCAACTGTGCAGTCCTCCAAAATGCCAACAGCACTCTTGACTTGATATGTAAACTGAATGTCGGTTGGTTGACAGTTTGGTTTGAACAGGAAAGGAGAAATCAGTGAAGTTTATAAGAAAGAGGAAGAAGCATTGGGAAGAAATCACACCACACAATAGAGGACAGTTTTCCTTGTTTTCAAAATTGCCTTTAATTCATAACAGAAAAAGTCTTTGTGTCTTTGGACATCTCTCTTCTCTGTGGCAGTCTGCAACACCAACAGAAACGACACCAGCAGTGACATAGTTACAACAATGAGACATTGGTCTGTGGATTATGAGGTGAGAGGCCTCAGGAAGCTGTGGTTTGTCAGTCTTGTTATTTTAGCCGTAGTTTTCAACATGTCATATTTTAATTTAAAGGTTGGTAGTTCGAGCCACCACTCATCTTGACTTTATTCCTCTAGTCTGCAAGCCAAAGCATGCTTGGGGAGGATATTGAAACCCACTAAAACAAAAAGATGCATCCCTGAGTTACTGGGACCTGTTAGTCCTGCATGTGCAGAACAAAAGAATTGTATGAATTTGTGTGAGCTTTGTAAAGTGCTTTCCGGTGCTGTATAAAGCACTTCCATTTACTTGTCGATGTTGAGGTGTTTTCTTTCATTTTTACTGGCATTCATAACTGCTGATATCTCATTCTTTATGTTTATTTACCGCTAAACATCAGCTACGTTGCCAGTGACCTGTTAAGGGTTGTATTACCTTCACATTTAGCTCTTTATATGGAACTCATACATGTTTGCCATTTCCCAAATGAAAGTGGTTCACTGGTGAAGTCATCTTCTATAATCTTTACCCAAAATTTTTTTCTGGTAATAATCCTTTTATTCCTTTTTCTTTTCATAGCTACTTGGCAGTAACTCAGTTCAGTCCTATCCACGCCCGGAAGGCCTTCCCCTGCTTTGATGAACCTGTCTACAAGGCCACATTCTCCCTCACCCTCCGCCACGACCCACAGTACACCTCGCTGTCCAACATGCCGGTGGAGAGCAGCTCGCTGTCGGATGAGGACGGCTGGTTGACCAATCACTTTGCCCGGACGCCTCGCATGTCCACGTACTACTTGGCCTGGGCTGTTTGCAACTTCACCTACAGAGAGACGCAGACGGACAGCGGCGTGACGGTCAGTCCCAACACAAAAACACTGACCACTACTGCTGTTGATGCTGTATTAGCCTGTTGAGGAAGTTATATCTCTTCTAGTGATGGCTTATTTTCAGAAAGCATGAGGTTTGTAACACAACTCACAGACTCACAGCTACAGGCGTAAAAAATTAAACGAAGAGAGAAGCACAAACGAGCGCACCTAAAGGTAAACACGTCTAATAAACACAATAAATAGACACCAGACTAAATTCATGGAGGCAAAATAACAATCTCATGATCTAAATTGAATTATCTCTTTTCACAGAGCGTGGGAATTAAGCTTTTGTGGTGCTCTAATTAATTTTTTAAAACATTTCTGCTGTGATCTTGACTTAATGGTCTCATTATGTACCAAATACCAAATGTTGTTGATTCGGTGGCAGCCCCTTTCTTCTTTTCTTCTGTCATTGCTGCTCTGTTTTCTTCTGGGACTAATGTTTGTCTTGAGGCTGAGAGAAAAAACTCTTATGATGAAACCTGTGTGTATAAAACATGAAACACAGCAGTCTGTTCTCTCAACATAATGTCACATTTTAGCCCCCCGTTAATCTCCAGACTAAGTTTCATATCATTGAATCCTAATCTCTGGAGTTAAGACACTAAATATGAGCACAACTGTTTTCTTCAGACAGTAATTGGCATAATGAAGTCCTGATTTGGGAGTACGGGTTTTATATTTCAGTGTACCCAGAGAAAAGGAGGAGGACAGAATATCACTTTTGAATTCAACATAATTAAAGCAGTTTACCAGTGATGTTAGTGCCAATATGTATCATAATCATGCTCATGCAAATAAATAAACTGCTATCTAAATGTGGTTATGAAGATATCTGTGAGACTAGAATGTTTGGTGGTAACCCTATCCTACCTGAGCCTATCATTTGGAAAAAGTCAAAGTGGAAAAGTGGAAATGGCCTGTGGTTCTGTCATTGTGAGGTTTGGTTTATATTCTTTGGTTTTTTTATTTTTATTATTTTGTTGGGAGTTTTATGCTATGAAGACTTTGGGTTTATCAATATTTCATTTCCATGTTTTAATATTTTTTTCTTGCCTCGTCAGTATCCCGTTGTATCATGTTATCAAGTCTTTATTTTTGTTTTGTGATTCCCATTTTGTGTGTTTCTTTTTTACCTTGTGCATTTTCACTGGTTTGACTTTATTTGGTTTTGTCTTAATTAGTTTCAGCTGTGTCTTGTTACCTTGGTATTTCCACTGTTAGCTTGTGTACAGTGATGAACATATCCAGTTTGTCTTTTGTCTGAGCATCTGTTTACCTGCACTCACATAGACCTCACATTCGGATCCTATTCTGAAAAAAAGTGAAAATGTCAGTTAAAACTGGTTTATTCTTTGTTCTCCAGTCACCAAGTCTTGGGATAAAATTTTATTAAACCAAAAAATTCACAGCATTGCGGCTGCTATCATATTCAACAACCAGTACCAACTTAGGCCAAATGTGTCTCTGATGTTTAAACATGTTTAAACATTTTAACTTCCATAAACATGGTGTCATGATCTTGGGTCTTTTGACCCAGCGTTTTAAGTTTTGAGTTTATTTTGTTCATTAGGTTATCTAAGTTCATTTGTTATTAGATTCCCCTTGTGTATCCAACCCCATTAAGTCTCCCTTGTCCTTCATGTGCTTCATGTCTGTGTTTCTTAAGTTGTCATGTTTGCGTTTCATTATGTTTCCCATTTTATTTTGAAAGAGGTCCAGTGTTCCTGCATTTTGTTTTACTCTTCCCCTGTGGCGTTGTTATGTTCATGTTGTGTCTACTGTGCCTTTCTGTTCCATTTTTCAGGTCCCTATGTTCTGTCTCCCCAGTCTGTTAAGTTTACATGTCTTGAGTTCCGTCAGTGTGTTTCCTGTTTTACTTTCACAGTCTGTCCTATGTTAATGTTTCTAGTTTTGCTTCCCTTGTCTCGTCCTGCCTAATTACTCTCAGCTGTGCTCTCCTCCTGTGGCTCATTCCCCCTCGTTATCCCTCAGTGTATTTAAGGCCCATGTTTCTCTTTGTCAGGGTTGCGTCCTTCTATCACAATACGGCTGTGTGCAGGCAAGAGTAGGACCCAAACTCGCAGAGACAAAAAGTAAACTCAAAAAACACAGCTTTATTGCTGGTGTGGAGTGGGACACGAAAAACAATACAAAACTAAACTAGGAAAACTAAAGCACAAGGAGCCACAGGGAAAAATCACACAGCTATGAGGGAGGACGCAACCTTGACAAAGAGAAACATGGGCCTTAAATAAACTGAGGGACAACGAGGGGGAAGAGAGCACAGCTGAGAGTAATTAGGCAGGACGAGACAAGGGAAGCAAAACTAGAAACATTAACATAGGACAGACTGTGAAAGTAAAACAGGAAACACACTGACGGAACTCAAGACATGAGTTCCACATGGGAAGAGTAAAACAAAATGCAGGAACACAGGACCTCTTTCAAAATAAAATGGGAAACATAATGAAACGCAAACATGACAACTTAAGAAACACAGACATGAAGCACATGAAGGACAAGGGAGACTTAATGGGGTTGGATACACAAGGGGAATCTAATAACAAATGAACTTAGATAACCTAATGAACAAAATAAACTCAAAACTTAAAACGCTGGGTCAAAAGACCCAGGATCATGACACATGGAGTCGCCTTTATTCATGTTGACCAGCACCAACTCCGTCAATCTGCTTCATGTCATAGACTGAATGTGTAGTCTGGGGTCAAGCTGAAAGTAAATGATTGTGACATTAGCTGGTGCTGTTTGCTTTAAGCTCAATCTCTGCCATTTTTTCATGTGAAACGTATCTAGGACTTGACCAAATGTTGTAGTTTAAAGTATTGTTGCTTTATCTTAGGTCTACATATCATAAAGGTGCCATAAAGTGTGTCCTTTGTGGTCTGCTATATCAGGCGGTGTAACTGGCAGTAAATCTCCATCATTAACAATGACAGCACCTGATGCATTGTCGTCTCCTCTGCCTCATTTTTATTCCAAATTTTTAGTTTGCTTAGAGATTATTGCTCAAACACAAAACGTCTTAGACTGAAGACACAGGAGCTGTGAACCAACAGATATGCAAGTATGTAGTAAGCAAACAGTTTTTGGCTTTTTTTTTTAGATGCTATTGACATTATTGTAACCATAATTATTCACACATGGAGTGGGTTATAGTTAGCAATATATTCAATTCAATTCAATTTTATTTATATAGCGCCAAATCACAACAGAAGTCGCCTCACTTTTGATATCCTTATCAAAATTTGTGGAATTTAAAGATTAGGACATTTCTATATAATGACAATCGCTCGATTCATTTAAAAAAAACAACCAAAACACTCCATCAGTGCTTTAACACACAAAGGTCAAGTACTTTTCAAACGTACATAATGAAAACCTGCAGTGAGTTAGAGTACTGCTGCAGCTGATCTGGCCTCCACAGTCACTCAGTCTTAATCCAGATGTCATGGTTTGGGACGAGTTGGATGGCAAAGTGAAGGAAAAGCAGCCAACAAGCAGGGGCGATTCCAGGTTTGTTTACTTTTTAAACGGTGGCTTACAGGGGCTCAAGAACCAGTCACGGCTGGCCTGTGGGAAATCAGAAAAATTCAATCAGAAATAAAGACAGCATTGAAAATTGGCTTAAGGAACGCTGCACTCTCCTCTGTCCCGCTACAGGTAACATGGCAGCAGAGCATAACAGCGGAAGAGGCATTTAGATCCTGTACTGAAGAAAAGCAGCAATACTCAATGTTATTATTGCATCAGTCGTTGATTCATGAATGAGTAAGCTGCTTCTGTTTCAAAGCTGGAGCTTGTTTTATTACTTTTTGTACTAATCCCGGTTATCTCAATATATATTATATCCCAAAATGTTAGATTTGTATCAAATATTATTATTTTAAATTATTTGCAATACCAGTTATTGAACATGTCAAGCATGTCTAAGGAGTACAAAGTATAAGATTAGCATTAGTACTACTAATTTAAAATAGTGAATTGTCATATTAACCTTGGCCAGATTTATATAAGAATTAGTAATAACTTTGTCACAGGTTTTTCAACTTTTAGCTGAGTGTGATGTCATAGAAAGAATAATTCTTATGTGGACATCTCTGGTGTGCTTCATTGACCTGCGATTCAAATCTTCTGTTTACAGAGGAGCAGGCAATCAGGAGAAAGTTGTGGTGGATTATTTTGAAATATGACTCATTCCAAGCTACCCTAACTCCACGGTGATTAAATGTAACTGTACTACAGTGCAGCACTTGAAAGTAACTACTGCATTTACTCAAGCATTCTTGCTTTCCATGTTGTCATCCAGTAGCATTGGGTTGACAGGCTGACAATACTGCAGCCCAGTAGCTTTGGGAGGACCCCAGGGGGCAATTATACTTGAAGGGGGGAGGTTCCACTGCTTTAGACACTCCTCTGCCAAGAGCTCAGCATGTGTTGGAGTCTCTTCAAGACTGTTGGAGAAACTCCAGGAGAGAATCTCATGGAGCTGGCTGAGAGACTGAGGAGTGTGCAGAGCTTTTCTAAACCAAATAAGAAACCTACAATTTGAAACAAATTTCCAGTTGTTAACATGTTTGTCCTTTGAAGACATTTCCATATTTTATTCACTTCAGTATTGATCCACAATGCAGAAGAAAAACTCTTCAGCAGGTCTGTCAGGACTTTACATGACTGGTAGTGTATGTAAATTTATTTGTAAAAACTAATAGTAATCATCTATAAATAAATGTATAATAGCAAAAAGACCTAGTTTTGTTGCTGTGCCTTGCTCTGCTGATGTTGCTGTGATGCGTTTTCATCTCTACACTGTAAAAAAAAAAAATCCTAAAATAACAGTAATATTCCGGCAGCTGGGGCACCAAAATAATACCATAAAATAACAAAAAATAACTTTCTTATGAAAATACAGTTATTTTCAGTAATGACAATACAGTTTGTTGCCCTAATTTTACATGGGA